TCATCAATGTTCGATGGGTCACGAAGCAGCGCATGCAAGCGACGAGAGAGGGATCGTCCAGAGCCTCTACGGGGGCCACGATGGAATGTAGAGGACTTTCGAGGCTGGGAGGGGCGAGAGGCTGCAGTAGTGGCAGAGTGGGCAACGACGGGCTGAGACGCGGGACCAACTAGTGGTGCATAAGTGAGATGGATGGCCCGAGCAATGTTGAAAGCCTCAGGCAAGGTGGGGATCGAATACGCCAGCATCTGCAACTGGAATGGCTGGGGTAGGCCTGCCCGGAATCGCTGGATCATGGCTTCCTCAGATATGGTTGTGATGGGAATTTGAGCGCGTACACGATGGAATGCCGTGATGTATGACTCTAGGGCATTGTCGCCACCAGGCCATCTGATCTCAGCCACACGAATAATCGGGTCGCGGGTGGGCGCAGGGCGAGAAAAGTACTGCTGAAGGAAGTCGCGAAACTCGGGGTAAGACATGCCCTCATGTACGCCGCGCTGTGAGCGGAGGGCGAGGAAGTCGCGCCAGGTGGAGGCTGCACGGCCTGTAAAGCGAGAGGACATTTCGACGGGCCACAGTTCCATGGCAACACCATGGTAGCGAAGCTGCTCCTCAGCAGTAGTGATCCATCCTTGGAGCTCGGAGGACCTGCCGTCAAACTGTGGAAGGTGATCCCGTCGAAACTGTGGAACATAGGTTGGTGGCTGATAGTGGGTAGGGAGAGGGAGAGCCAATTGTGACAAGAGGACAGAGGAAGTAGTGGCACCAGCAGAACCACTCGAAAGAGCGGGGAGTCGGGGTAAAGGTCCCTGACACATCGTGGTGGCTGGTGGTGGGAGTGAGAAATGCATCGCAGCGGCCAGTGTCTGATGCTGTCGATAGATGAAAGGGGCAGCAGGCTGTGTCAAGAGGTGGGGAGGTAGGGGTTGACCTCCTTGGAGTAGGCGGATGTGATCATGGGCTAGGGTGAGTCGGCGTTGGAGCTCGACATTCTGTGTCCTGGGTGTGGGGGGGG